GGGGGGGCTACAGGGAGGTTTTCCCAGAAGATCAGCTTTCCTTCCAGCTTCCCAGGGGAGGTGACGTCTGTGTCAGCCTCAAAGACTAAGTTGGAGTGACTGTGGTATCAGGAAGCCCGACTACTGGGCTCCAGCCTGTCCCCGCTGTGGACTGATTGTGTCCTTTTAGGCCCAGCTATGCCTCAGTTTCCTCATCTGTAAAGTTCATTCACTCAACAAAACCTTGCGGAGCACCATCATGTACCGGGCAGCAGTTCTGATGAAGAAAAAGGACAGAAATCTTTGCTCCCTGCAGCTCACATTTCAGTTGTTGAGAATAATAGTAATAATACCTTCCCCATGGGGTTGTCTTGAAGATTAAAGAGCAAACACATGAAACAGTGACAACATATAATAAAAGTTCAACACTAGCTATTAATATATTATAATTGTTGTTGTTGTTGTTGTTGAGATCCCCTGACTTAATAATGATTCAACTTACAATTTTTCGACTTTACGATGTTGAGAAAGCAATGTGCCTTCAGTGGAAAGTGCGCTTCGGACTTTGAATTTTGATCTTTCCCTGGGTCAGGGACACGTGCTGTGTGGTACTTTGTCAGGATGCTGGGCGGCGGCAGTGAGAGCCAGTTCCCTCCCAGCCAGGCCATCGTGAGGGCAGAGAACTGACAGGACCACCTGCTTTTCACTCTCAGGACAGGATTCAATAAATTACATGAGATATTTAACACTTTATTACAAAAGGCTAGATTGTTTTGCCTAGTGACAGGCTGATGTAAGTGTTCTGAGCACATTTGTGGTGAGCTAGGCTAAGCCATGATGTTCATAGGTCAGGCATATTAAAAGCATTTTTGACTTAATGATACTTTCAGCTTTTAATTGGTTTATCGGGATGTCACCCTTTTGCAAGTCAGGTAGGACCTGCGGTATTATTATTGCTGTCACTCCCGCCACTGCTGCTGTTGTTAGAGCAAGAAAGGTGATGGCCTTGCATTCAGAGGTGAGCATGGAAAAGCAAGAAATTAATTATAAGCATCTTGGGCCACTGGGGTAGAAATACTTGGATAGTTGAGTTAGGAGCCCTGTTCCCTGACCCCTCAGTCCTCCCTACATAGCCTCAGAGGCATCAGGGCTCTGGCTCTGGAGTTTGACTCTTAGGTCAACTACTCCATCATATGTTTACTATGTGACCTTGGAGAAGTAACCGGAGCTCTCTGTGCCTCTGTTTCCTTCCTCATCTGTATAACATAGACAATAATAAGATTCATTTCACAAAGTTGATGGAGCATTAAGCAAATTAGTATTTGTTAAGCTCTTAGCAACTTGCTGTCATAATTGAGGAAGCATTTAATAATCGAAGGTACAGTTAATCATTCATTATTTCTATCATCTGCCTCAATGCTCCAGTTTACCCATCAGTCTTACATCTTCCGTGTTCTTTCCTTCCTCCCGTCTCCACCACCACCCATTAGGAAGCTCTACCTTTGCCCTGCGCCCAGTCTCTGGAAGGCCTCCTTTCTTTCCTAGGGCTTCTTTTCCAGTCCAGGTTCTAGTTCCAAGGATAGAGCAGCAGTTCCAGCTGGCCTCACTTTCTTAAGCTCTCCTTTACCCCAGTCTGTTTTTCACAAAGCTGCCAGAAAAACCTTTCTTGAAGAGCGTTGTCCACATGGTAATGAATCTATATTATCTATTGCATATCTTAGCCTTATCCCGGCATTCAAAATAATTTCATGAGCCGTGCCCTCCCCAGCCACCACTACCACCATCCTATACCTCCCCTGTGCCACCAGGATGGTGAGCTCAGATGCAAGACAGTAAAAGCCAGCCTTTTCTCAAGATATTTTACTGCCATCTGCAGCAAAATTGTTCCTATCAGCCAGGATCTCATCAGGAAACAGATGGTACATTCAAACTGGATAATTTACAAAGCTACGGGCAGGATTTAGGGAACCAAACATGGGAGGGTGTAGGACCCCAGAACCTGTGGTGGCCAAGGGTCGGAGTCATCATCACCCCCTAAGCCTGCAGGTTCAAGGGCAGGATGTGGTTATCACAACCTAGAGGAAGGTGGCTGTGTGATGAGAATAGTGACCCTTCAGTAGAGGGTCAACTTATAGTGACCTAGCAAAGAAGAAATGATCCACCTCCCATTCCTGTTGCCCCCTCATCTCTGCATCCAATCAGAAGCCAAAAAGCAGGGTGGCTGCTTGAGGCAATTCCTACAGGTCCACTTCTTAGGACACAGAGCAAAGAGGGGTGAGACAAGTGGACCAGGAGGAGCAAATGGCAGACGCTCGACAGAATTGTGGTTATAAATATAAATCTATGATGTCCTTACATGTGCACAATAAACAGTGCAGCAGCCCTGGCATCGCGTTGTGACTAAGATTCCCTCCACCTCCAACTACATTACGCTCCCACCCCGGTAAGGTAACCTTCACCCCCAGGTCGGGGCTTGCCTCAAAGGAGTCTTAGTGCAGATTAGAAAAAGCCTTGCCTCTTCGACACTTGACTCTTATCTGCTGAAAAAGGTTTTGGAATAAGATATCTCACAGGCATTTGCCAGAAAATGTTTATTATTCTAAATACGCAAACCTACTCTATCTACAGTGTGAATGAGGTCCATCACTTTGAGATGACAGCATCAGGAGCCCCCCAGACCCCTGCACCAGAGAAACAAACAAATTGGTAAAAAACTATTAAAACAGCAACAATAACATTTAAAGCCTCTGGAAATTGTCCTAAGGGCATACAGCAATGGAAGAAACCTTCATTCAAGAAAATCTACTAAGATTTTCTTTCGGCACAGAAAGATCTTCTAGGATTTGAACCACAACCCACTTTCTCCCTCCCTCCTACCCCCCCTTCCCCTGTAGCTCAGCTGATGAAAACAACATTCTGGGTAGGTATGGTCAAAAAGCTGGGGCTCCCTCTCCTCTGGGCTCTCAGTCAGGGATTACCATATCTCACCAGGAGAAGCAGGCCACCAGCTGATCATCTCATCCCCTCCACTCTGAGTTAAAGAGGCTAAATTCCTGGCGTGTGCAGCTGAGAGGATCATCCTCTTCAATGCTCATGGCAGGGAAAGCCAAGATCCTGGGACCTGATCATCCCAACCCCCCCCCCCACTCACTTATGGGGCGGGGGATCTGCCCCACAAGAAGCAAGCTGAGAAGCCTGGAGCCTGACCCAGCACCCGGTACAGTGGCTTCGAGATTTTGACCAGGGGAGAGAAAGTCCTTAAGAAAAGGGAGCTGTAATGCTTTCTCTAAAGAAGTTAACTTTCTAAAGAATCCGAGGGTAGGAAACTTCAACTTTAGGCGTGTGCTTGAAAACAGCGACTCCTTTTATACAAGAGTAACACCCTAAACCATGGATCAGTAGTTTGCCAGAGGTGACCAGGGAAAGAGACCGTTGAAGACAGCCTTCCTGGGATTAGAACAAACCTCAAAAACTACCCCTGCAAGAGGGCCCAAATTTAATTGGATCCGACTGCTGAATAATTTTCACAGCGAGCACTGTCGGAAAACAATACGTCAATCGAGGGGACCCTAGTAGCTGAGCGTGATACCAAATGAGGCAGCCGGCTTCACAGAAGGATCAGAGACAAGGACAGAGAGAGCCCTGCTGACAGCCCTGTCGTTCCAGGGGGTGCTGGGCACACTCGTCTTCACTCCCTGAAGAGCAACACCACCAGAGAGTGAAACAGAGAGGGAACAGTTTTCACTAAAATAGTCCAGTCACAACACTAAATAAACAAGCAAATTTCGGAAGCGATCCCCAGAGATGAGGGAAGGGAACTGGTATCCAAAGTTGCTACAACGCATAACCTCAAATATCCAGTTTCCAACAAAGAAATTATGACAGGCAAAGAAAGAAGAAAGTATAACCCATGCATAGGAAAAATTAAAAAGCAGGCAACAAGAATTGCCTTTGATAGGATCCAGATGTTGAATTCAATAGATAGTTAATGGATATTCAGAGAACTAAAGGAAACCACATTTGAAGAAGAAAAGGAAGAAACGATGATCGTAGCTCATCTAATACAGAATATTAATAGAGAGACAGAAATCATTCAAAAAGCCTACATGGCAATTCTCACACTGAGAAGGGCAATAGCTGCAAGGAAAAATTCACTAGAGGGAGTCAACGATAGATTCAAGCTGTGAGTGTAGGACCCAGGAAATTGAACAAAATCCCCTACCCCTGGACAAGCAGAGCAGGACTGACTCTCTTTTGGGCTGCACCCGCCTTGTGCTGACCTGCTTATTACTTAGGGCACTGCCCCGCCCTAGTCACAGACCAGGACACACCCTAATCGGAAATCTGGCTCAGCGGACCAGCATGTCTCTGCAACTTTCTGCGATCCCATGGGCCACTGGCCCCTATAAAGTTGCTAAGCCTCTTAGTCTCGGGGTCCCAGTCCCTGCTCCACTGTGTCGGGTACACTTGGACCCAGGCTCGAGCTTGTAAATAAACTCTCGTGTGTTTGCATCGGTGTCGCTCCTTGGTGGTTTCTCGGATTCGTGATCTTGGGCACAACATTTGGGGGCTTGTCCGGGATCCAAGAAACCCCCAGGACCCCATCCGGAGGGTTTCACGTGTGGTGAGTGCACTCAGCTTTATCCACCTTTTGCGCGCATATTTTCTGAGAGCTCTAAACTGTACTGTACTTGTAGGAATTCCAATCTGTATTGGGTCGGCATTGGCTTAGGCGGACACGCTGGCGGGCGTCGACCGGGGGTCTTGAGGAGACGTCCCTTGCCCCTGCCTGGAGGACAAGGTCCTCATCTGTATAGAGGACGGGGTCCTCACCTGTAAGGAGGACAGAGGCCCTCACCTGTAAGGGGGACGAGGTCCTCATCTGTAAGGAGGACGGGGTCCTCACCTGTAAAGAGGACGGGGTCCTCATCTGTAAGGGAGATGGAGGTCCTCATCTGTAAGGAGGACGGGGTCCTCACCTGTAAGGAGGACGGGGTCCTCATCTGTAAGGGGGACGGGGTCCTCATCTGTAAGGAGGGCCGGCTGCCAGCCCTTCAGGTTACTTTCTGTTTTGTCTCCACAGCCGCACGGAACGTTTGTCCGTTTGTCCGTTACCGTGTTCTTGTTAACTGCTTGCACGTTTGTCTGTGTTACCATGTCCTTGCTAACTGTTTGTGCATTTGTCTCTGTTGTTGTGTCCTTATTAATCGTCTTTACTGTCTGTGTCTTGGTGTGTATTGGGGACATAATGGGGGAGACAGAAACCACTCCCCTATCTCTTATGCTCTCTCACTTCTCGGATGTTAGGGAAAGAGCTCGTATTCTGAGCACAGACATATGGAGAGAGAGATTCCAAATTTATTGCATATCAGAATGGCCAACCTTTGACGTTGGATGGCCCCAGGAAGGAACTTTCCACCTACCTATCATCTTACAGGTTAAGACCGTGATCTTCAGGGATGAACCAGACGGCCACTCTGACCAGGTGCCCTACATCCTGATCTGGCAGGACATGATGGAGAATCCTCCTCCTTGGCTAAAACCATTTTTACCCCCCAAAGCAGGACCCACAGAGATTCTAGCCCTGCAGAAAGCCAAAAAGGAGACCAACTCTATGCCCGAAGCACCCCTTCATCTGGTCTTCCAGGATTCCTCCCCAGAGGACCTGATTCTCCCGCCACCCTACCGGGCACCCCCTCCCCCTTCCGCCCCTCCATTGGAGGCATCGGGGGCTGCAGAAGGGGCGCCACCCCTCCCTGACGAGAGAGTCCCTGTGCACAGGCCAGCAGTGGGGACACGCGGTGGGACCCACCAGATGGCCCCACTTCCGAATGCGGGGCCGGCCGACTCCACCGCCCTTCCTCTCCGCTCCATGGGGCCCCCCGATGAGACTGGCAAACAGCTAATGTTATATTGGCCATTCTCCACCAGTGATTTATATAATTGGAAAACCCCAAATGCAAAATTCTCTGATAATCCGAGAGATCTAATCGGGCTTTTAGGTCCTGTTCTCTTTACCCACCAGCCTACTTGGGAGGACTGCCAACAGCTCTTGCAGGTTCTCTTCGCCACCGAGGAGAGAGAACGAATTCAGGTGGAAGCCCAGAAGTCTGTCCTGGGAGAGGACAGACAGCCGACTCAAAACCCAGACCTCAGAAATGCTGCCTTCCCTTTATCCTGCCCCACCTGGGACTACAACTCAGCTGAAGGTAAGGAGAGACCCCGGGTCCACCGCCAGACTCTAATGGCAGGCCTCCAGGCTGCCGCGCACAAGCCTACCAATCTGGCCAAGGTCTATGATGTGAGACAGGGTAAGGATGAGAGTCCAGCAGCCTTCTTAGAGAGAGTCATAGAGGCTTTTAGACAGTACACCCCTATGGATCCAGAAGCCCCAGAAACAAAGGCTGCAATTATCATGACTTTTGTTAACCAGGCCGCTCCGGGCATTAAAAAGAAATTGCAAAGAGTAGAGAGACTGGGAGAGAAGAGCTTGCAGGACTTAGTGATAGTGGCAGAACGAGTCTATAATAATAGACAAAGTCCGGAAGAACAACAAACCAAACTAAGTGACCGGCAGACCCGAAATCTGGCCAAGATCCTGCTGGCCACAACCATGGACAACCCACAGGAAAGACGGAGGCACTTCAAGAAGCTGGCTTCAGGGACAGGTAAGGAGGATGGCCCTGGTCCCCCTTGGGAGCACCCAAGATGAACAAAAACCAATGCGCCTATTGCAAAGAGGAGGGTCATTGGGTAAAAAAGCTACCCTATCAAAAGATCTAAGGCCCCTGCCAAGATCTTAGAAATGGAGGACCTGGACGGTTAGGGGAGTCAGGGTTTGGCACCCCTCCAAGAGTAACCCCTCCAAGAGTTACCCCAGGGTAACTCTTAAAGTGGAGGGGCAACCTGTTAAATTCCTAGTGAACACTGGGGCACAACATTCAGTTTTATTACAACCCCAAGGGAAATTGGCAAACAAAACTTCATGGGTGCAAGGGGCCACGGGCACCAAACAATACTCATGGACTACCTGGAGAACTGTGGATCTCGGCACGGGCCGGGTATCCCACTCCTTCTTGGTCATCCCTGAGTGTCCCTACCCGTTGTTAGGTCGGGATTTGCTCACCAAGATGGGGGCACAAATTTGCTTCCACCTTGAAGGGGCAAAAGTCCTGAAACAAGAAGGGGCACCCGATTCAGGGGCTTGTCCTGAGTTTAGAAGATGAATACCATCTCCACCAAATGCCCTCAGCGCCAATGACTGACTGTTGGCTGCGGGAATTTCCCCAAGTGTGGGCAGAAACTGGGGGAATCGGGCTGGCCCAGCATTGACCGGCCATATACATAGAACTAAAGCCGGGGGCAGACCCTGTCAGGGTCCGCCAATACCCCATGCCTCTAGTAGCACGAAAGGGAATCACACCCCACATACGGCGACTACTGGACTCAGGCATATTAAGGCCCTGCCAATTGGCCTGGAACACTCCCTTGCTGCTGGTTCCGAAACCGCACTCTAACGATCACAGGCCAGTCCAGGACTTGAGGGAAGTCAACTGGCGAGTAGAGGATATGCACCCTACGGTCCCAAACCCATACACCCTCCTCTCCACCCTGCCTCCAGACAAAACTTGGTATACAGTATTAGATTTAAAAGACGCCTTTTTCAGCCTGTAGCACCCAGGAGCCAAGACCTCTTCGCCTTTGAATGGACAGACCCTGAGAAAGCATCAATGGCCGCTCACCTGGACTCAACTACCACAAGGATTCAAAAATTCACCGACCATCTTCAATGAGGCCTTATATGAAGACTTGGGTGAGTTCCGTTCCGAGCACCCACATTTAACTTTATTATAATATGTAGATGATATCCTGTTGGCGGCGGAGGACCAGGACACATGCCTGCGAGGCACCAGGGACTTGCTCCAGACCATAGTGGCCCTAGGATACCGGGCCTCAGCTAAAAAAGCCCAGATGTGCAGAGCAGAGGTGAGCTACCTTGGGTACAAATTAAAAGATGGACAAAGATGGTTGACAGATGCACGGAAGGAAACTGTCTTAAGAATCCCACAGGCGCAAACCATCCGCCAGGTGCACAGAATCGGAGCTGATCTCCAGGACCAGCCACTGCCGAATGCGGACGCCACCTGGTACGTGGACGGCAGTAGTTTTGTCCAAGAAGGACTCAGACATGCAGGGGCAGCCGTAACCACGGAGTCGACTCAACAGGTAGAACTGACCGCACTGGCCAACGCGCTGACCATGGGGGAAGGTAAACGAATCAACATCTACACTGACAGCAGGTACACCTTTGCCACCGCTCACATCCACGGAGCCCTTGACAGGGAGAGAGAGCTTCTAACAGCAGAGGGAAAGACTGTTCAAAACAAAACGGAGATTCTTGAACTCCTAAGGGCCCTCTGGCTGCCCAAGGCAGTAGCCATCATCCATTGTCCAGGGCACCAAAAGACAGACACGCCAGTAGCCAGGGGAAACCGGCTAGCTGATTTACAGAATGGAAAAGCCAACCAGACAAGGACAATCCCCTAAAGCTAAGACTGCACCATTTTCACTTATTTCCCACCTCCAAGACTCCCTAGTCCGAGGTTGTCCTTTGAAATAGAAGGAGATTAGAATTAGTCTTCTTACAACAAAGGGTTGGGGGAGGTTATGTGCTGCCTTTAATGTAAATAAGAGAGAGAACAGCAACAAGGTTGGTGAGAATCCTGATTTAATCATTCCCCTGGCTCACTCTGAGAGCAACCTGGACCCATGATTGGGTCCTGTATAGGATCCTCTGAAAAAGGGGGGAATGTGGGACCCAGGAAATTGAACAAAATCCCCTACCCCTGGACAAGCAGAGCAGGACTGACTCTATTTTGGGCTGCACCCGCCTTGTGCTGACCTGCTTATTTCTTAGGGCACTGCCCCGCCCTAGTCAGAGACCAGGGCACACCCTAATAGGAAATCTGGCTCAGCGGACCAGCATGACTGTGCAACTTTCTGCAATCCCATTGGTCACTGGCCCCTATAAAGTTGCTAAGCCTCTTAGTCTCAGGGTCCAAGTCCCTGCTCCACTGTGTCAGGTATACTTGGTCCCAGGCTCGAGCTTGTTGTTGTTTTTTTTATTTATTTATTTTACGATAGTCATACAGAGAGAGAGAGAGGCAGAGACACAGGCAGAGGGAGAAGCAGGCTCCATGCACTGGGAGCCTGACGTGGGATTCGATCCCAGGTCTCCAGGATCACGCCCTGGGCCAAAGGCAGGCACCAAACCGCTGCGCCACCCAGGGATCCCCAGGCTCGAGCTTGTAAATAAGCCCTTGTGTGATTGCATCAGTGTCGGCTCCTTGGCAGTTTCTTGGATTCGCGATCTTGGGCACAACAGTGAGAATAAAGAATCAGCAAACTTGAAGTTAGATGGATAAAGATTATTCAATCCAAAGAAGAGAGAAACTGGAACTCAGGAAAAGTGACAGAACCAACATATGCACGGTGAGGCCAACACACCTACGTACACATGGTGAGGCCAACACACGTATGCACGGTGAGAGTGCCAGAAAGGGAGGAGAGGGGATCCCTGGGTGGCGCAGCGGTTTAGCACCTGCCTTTGGCCCAGGGCGTGATCCTGGAGACCCGGGATCGAATCCCACGTCGGGCTCCCGGTGCATGGAGCCTGCTTCTCCCTCTGCCTGTGTCTCTGCCTCTCTCTCTCTCTCTCTCTCTCTGTGTGTGTGTGTGTGTGTGACTATCATAAATAAATAAAAAATTGTTAAAAAAAGAAAGGGAGGAGAGAAAAAGCAGCAGAAGAAATAATACCTGAAAACTTCTTCATGTGAACGACTCTTTAGATATGATACACCTTGTGTGGTGTACAACACATACAGCCGTACGTGGCCATCTGAGGTCAGGGCCACAGCAACCACCAGCATCACCATCTCTTCATCCCTTTTTCTCTTTCAGGAGAGCAGTTCTGCACTAGTCACATCAGTCTCCCAAACTCTCACCTACACTTCTCTTAGTCATTCTGGGCTACATGACTTTTCCGTTGATGTTTCCCTTCTGGTTTCTTTTGATCAGTACAAACCCATCATTTCTCCCAAACCCCCGAGCTCATGTATTTTTATCTAATTACCTAGATTACTTACATGTGTTATGGTAGTTGTTCCATCATTTTATTTAGATGTCTACACATATTTATCAAATGCCTAGGACACTTCAGGCATCCTACCAGGCCCTGGCAGAGAACAATTCAAAGAGCCTGTCCTCATTAGCCTACATCCCAGTCAGCTGATAAATAGCACGACAGTAGTATAGAGAGCAACAGGTACCACGTGAGTGTGAAGTCGGGTGACAGAGATGAGCTGGGGAAGGAGAACTGTGTCAGAGAAGGCCTCGCTAATGTTTAGGCAGCAAAGTAAATGAGGACAAGCAGCCGGCCAGCTGAGACCATGGAGAAAGGACTTTCCAGTCAAGGGGAATAAAAGGGTGAAGGCCTTGGGGCAGGGATGTTGGAGGTGTATATGGAGAAGAGTGAATAGGATAAGGTGACTAGAAGGCAGTAGGAAGGGGGTAGGAGGTGGGGTCGGAGGGATGGTTTGGGCCGCCTTCGCGTAGGGCCATACTGGTGTGCCTCGCTTGGGGTATTAGTCTAGGATTGTAAACCACTTCTTGGAACCCTCAACTTCTACCTTCATGCTCCACGTAGGCCCTGTGAGTCCTGTGAAAGGGAGGTCATCTCCATACCTTGGCCTCAGAGTCCCTGTTCTTAACAATGAGGACTGTCAGAGCCAAGACTGACTGAGGAGCAGAAGGACATGATCAAGAAAGATGGGGCCTCAGCAGGAGGCCAGAATACATTTGTGTAATATCGCTTACCGCACACTTAACCTGTGTCAAGGCTGTCACACGTCACAGCTGACATATACACGGGGCTACATAAACTTGACCACAAACCCGTGACATAGGCATCAGCACCCTCTTCTACACGGGAGGAACCAGAGACACCAAGATGGTAAGTAGATTGTCCACAGTCACCCTGTTGGTGGGAAAGCTGGTTTGGCCCCGTTGGCCTCCAAAGCCCGGACTCTAAATCAGCCACTACCACTACCCCCCGGGAGGCTCAAAGATTTAACAGGAGGACCAGGAGAAAGAGAGGAGGGAAGAAGGAAAGTAAGGCATTTAGGAGAAGAATTCCTCAATTCCTATGACCTGAGACTGTCTAGACAACATAAGTAAATATTATTGTTTACTGTCCACCCATTCTTTTTACTTAACAGAAATAAGCAATCAGATGAGAATTGACTTGACGGTACAGAGACCAAATTTGAGAATTTTTATTTTAAAACTAGCAAAAAAAAAAAAGGATTTTCAGTTTCCTTCTTGCATGTTCTTTTTTCTTTTTTAAGTTTAAAAAACACGAAGAAGGATAAAGAAGAAAATTTAAATCACCAGAGAACTCTCATTCAATGTAAGTGCTGGTTTGACAGTCTAGAGAATTCTTACTCCAGGGAAGGTCTGCACCTATGGATCCTTCCTTCCAGAGGGACAGGAGGAAAAGGGAAAGAAGAAAGAGTAGCCCGCACATCAGGCTCCTGATTGAGCTTCCCTTCGGGGAAAGAAGAAGAAAGAAAGAGAGAAAGAGAGAAAGAAAAGAAAAGAAAAGAAAGAGGAGAAAAGAGAAAGAAAGAAAGGAAAGAAAGAAGAAAGAAGAAAGAAGAAAGAAAGAAAGAAAGAAGAAAGAAGAAAAAAGAGAAAGAAAGAAAGAAAAAGGGAGAAAGAAAGAAAGAGAAAAAGAAAGAAAAAGAAAAAGAAAGAAAGAAGAAGGAAAGAAAGAGAAAGAAAGAAGAAAGAGATAAGAAAGAAAGAAAGAAAGAAAGAAAGAAAGAAAGAAAGAAAGAAAGAAAGAGAAAAGGGGAGAGGGATCCCTGGGTGGCGCAGCGGTTTGGCGCCTGCCTTTGGCCCAGGGCGCGATCCTGGAGACCGGGGATCGAATCCTACGTTGGGCTCCCGGTGCATGGAGCCTGCTTCTCCCTCTGCCTGTGTCTCTGCCTCTCTCTCTCTCTGTGTGTGTGTGTGACTATCATAAATAAATAAAAATTAAAAAAAAAGAAAAAGGGAGAAGAAAGAAAGAAGAAAGAAAGAAAGAAAGAAAGAAAGAAAGAAAGAAAGAAAGAAAGAAAGAAAGAGTGTGAGGTTGGGGTCCCCCTCCCCACGCCGCCCCCTCCAGCCTGTTTGTCTCCTGAAGCCGCCCCCTTGCACTGTGGGGCCTCCTGTCCTTTTCCTCGGAAAGCCCCTAATGGATTAAATCTGCAGAGTCCATGGTTGCCGACATCCACTAGAAATAAGCTTTATTTACATGCAGTCAGTCCTGAAATTTTTGAAAAGCACAGAATTAAAAGAAAAAAACTGCCAGAGAATACAATCATCAGAGTCCTTTGTCCTTGGCTCTGCCTCTCTGTACCCCTCCATCTGCTGGGGGGGGGTGCCCAGAAATGCTGGGAGCCTGGGCACACTGCGGGGACATCCAGGACAGAGGAGAACGAGGCTCCAGGTTCCCAGTGTTTTCCATCCACTGCTGCTGTAATCTGAGGACCCCCCACCCCCATGCACACAGGAACTGTCCTGAACAAGTGATTCAGGATAACTTCTAAAAATTTCTTTTTTCTTTAAAGATGTTATTTATTTAGTGATGGCAGACACAGAGAGGGAGGGACACAGGCAGAGGGAGAAGC